GAACTACACTGACAGCTTGCTAGACTCTCAAATGCTGCACCTGATCTGCATTACAGGAAAGAGATTACAGCCATTAACAACTTGGGTAGGTCTTGCCTTCATGTGAGAAACCTTTCCAAACACTGCATGTAGGAGGATGTGATCTCTGGACATCACCCCAATTATTAGACAACGGTGGTGTAAGCAGTGTTCAAGTTTGCCAGCCTTAGTTGGAATTGTTTTTCTACGTGCAAGGACTGAGCTAAACCGGGATAAAGTAATTCATAGATCAGATGTGCTGTAAATTGATAAAAAGTTGGGAAGGGAGATTTATTAAAAAGAACTAAATACAGCTGGGTGAAAAATTTATCAGAAAAAAGCATAACTCAAAAAATTAAGGGTACATTCAAGAAAGAGCAGCAGACTGCTTATTCTATTTAATTTTATCTTAATAAATAGCTAAAAGTACAAGATTTATGGTGAGAGAGAGAGAAAGAATGAGAATGACAAAGTGAAAAAAGAAATAAAGGCTATCAGGCAACCCAACTCAATAAAAATAAATTCCTCCTCTCTCAGCAGTTAAAGCAAAATGTTTCCTGAATCCTGACAATACCTCATTCTTTTACTTTCTGGCTGGCTGGAACCTGAACAACCATCAATCAAGTTTGGGTGGCCGTGAAGTAGGCCAGATGGAGTATGTCAGAAGCATTTTCTGCTCTTCAGTGCAAGTTGGCCATTAGAGCAGCCACTCAACAGAAGTGCTTGAGTCTTTCACATCTGTCAAGATAGTTTAGGGAGACCTTGAACATCCCTGGCCTTGCAGACACTGATTAGAATATGCAATTATGTGTGCTAGAGGAGAGGTGGCTGCCTCCACTGGGATTTTGTGATAAAATCATCCTTTCATCCTTTCCAGCCTTTGTGACAGGCTTTCGCATGACCTCATTTGTATACTAAATACACAAACCCTGGTGTTTGAGATATCACTATCACATTGCTGACAATCTCTCCATCCAAATGCACAACATTCAAGAACTAACAACAGTTTTCATACTGTGTTAACTACACTTTAGCACAGCAGGCCAGGACCAAGCTATTGTCTTCCAATCTGAAAATACCTTAGCAAAGCTATGGAGAAAAGAGATCATCAGACAGAGCGGTTGCTAATAAGGAAAAAATACAATTCTTTTCGTTTGTTTCCAAAAGATTTTAAGGCTTTTCCATGAATGCTGACTAATGATAAAACAAATATGTAAGAACACTTAGGTCACCAGCTTATGAGGCAGCATTGATTCCCAAGGTTAATGAGCATCTCCTGGTTTAATTTAGCAGAAGTTTTGCCACAGATCATAGAAGTTCCTGAAATCATAGAAGTTCTTGAAAAACCAAAATATATTTTTATCAGCAAATCTGCAATACGATAACCCTTGGGATTTTTCTTCAGGTATAATTTTCCTTTCTGTTAAGCATAGATCAAACTCCTGTGAAACAGCAGTCATCTTCAAAATAGTTAGGTGAGAGAAGAGACACAGGATTCAGACTAGCAGCAAAGTTGCCACATGTTCATGACCTGGAAAGGTGGACAAGCAACAGGAGAGCAACAGTTACAGATAACATCGATTTATTTGCATTTCTCTCAAAGAATGGAGAAGGTAAGGACACCAAGCCATACTAAGGAAATGTGTCAGGTAAAATCTGATACACTGTACTTCATTGGGCAAGCCTACATGAAATTATCTGCATTACTCACACCCCTTCGTGGGTTCTTAACTAACCACATTAATTAAAATTTTTAAAAAAATGTAAGAGGGAGAATTGTGAAGGTCTCAGATAAAGATATCTGCTCCACATGCAAGCAGTGATGAAAAGAAAAACATGTTTAGGTTATTTAGTGGGTGTAATGGACACTAAAGGAAGTATTACATTGATACTCTCTTTTTCAACAGAAATCTGTGGAGGACATGCTTGGAATACTGTGTACAGTCCAGTCTCTTTAACTCAAAAATGATTTTTCAATAAGAAGGAATTTAGGCAAGTCCAGTACAGAGTATTATTATAATGGATAAATTGTTACACAAATATTTAAGTCAGAGGTTTCAGCTTCAAAAGATGGCACGTGACAAAAAGTCACAGAAGATATATAAAACTACAATTGACTGGAGAAGCTAGATAGGGGCTTTTACTCACCCCATGTACAATATGAAATCAAAAGGAAAAGTGATGTAATGGAGAGGTTACAAACATGACCTAATAGAAGGAAAAATTCAGGGCACTGGAAAGGGAGTTAGAAAAATCATGAAAACAACCCTTTTTCAGAATTTACTGGTATTTTTCACCACAATATTCTCAGTCAGTTCACATCTGCTTTTGGTACTCTCAACCTATTGCTGTCAGAGATGTATTCAGTGATGCGGCTCTTGAAGCACACACCAACCAGAAAGGTAACTGTTTAGCAGTAGAATGGATTCCTGTAATCAATAAGCCCCTCATTTATTATTCTGCTGCCAGAGCACCACTGCCCTGCTACTCCAGGTAATCACAGTAGGAACATACAGCACTTGATCAGCATTTACTAGTCTAGCTGCATATCAATACAGAACTGTCCCTCCGAAAAAAAAAATGCTGCTCCCAAATAATGTACCATATGCTTCTTCTCTTGTAGTCTTGAGCGACTGGTGTGAGGCTATGGGTGGAAAGGGAGGCTAATATGTACCTGCAGTCCATTCCAAATACTCAAACAATAATCTAGATCTTACTTCTCATCTCCAAAGAATTAATTTGGGTCCTATTTAACTATAGACTGAACACAGTTTAATTTTTCCTTTATCTAGATATTGGGTGGGGACTTACCTCCAACCTGTAATTTCCTTCATCACAGGGAGAAAGCAGAAATACCCTCCTTCCAGCTAACATGTCAGTACTCAGCTTTTTAACTCAGAAAGAAAGTTCAGCAGGGCACAACATTTCACATAGTATTAATCTGCTTGACCTAATTTCTTAGTCTAGTTCATCCTACTGCTGCCAACATACTGTCCAGTGTAGCTCCTATGTAGTTATACCCACAGATCTGCAATATGGATTTCTTTGTCTTTAGCTCAGGGCCCAGGCAGGCTGCGACTGTGTGACTTCCATGCGTGCTGCTCCTACCAATGCCAACAGCAGATGAACTAGCAGGTGGCATGCAGGAAGATGCCACGAGATTTCTAATCCAAATCAGGAGAGCAGAATTTCTGCCCATAGTTATTATGATCACAAACCTTCGTTTGTACCTATTTCTCCTTTCGCATTCCTTCAAATCAAATGAAGTCTGGTTTCCTAATTAAGTCAAACCACAAAACTATGTTTGCTGCAGTTAGTCCTGATCTGAGTTTCAGTCTCAGCTATAACTCACTCAAATCTAGAATCAGTTAAAGTTAACTACAATCCAGCAATTTCACAAGCTCTACCTTTAAAACTGTAACTTGAAAACAACCCTGTACTACCCAACAGCACTGTTCTCACAAAATAGTGCTGCATCAACTCTGCTTTGTCTCCCTCTCCCCTCTTCTGACAGCCATTGATAGAATATACTGACTCAGCAGGAGCAGAACAAGGCAGAGAGAGGGCTACTAGCGGCTTGAGTGGCAGAGGCCTTTTGGCAGCACAATAGGAAGCTTTATTCAATAAACTTCCAAATTCCACTTAGGCATGAAAAATGACTGAAAAAAACCCCAAAACAAACAAACAAACAAAAACCACCCCCCAAACCCCAGAAAAGTCCTTCTCCCCAGATGAATAAACAATAAAATCATCCAGCTCAAAGCCCTTTCTGCATTCCCAACCAATCACTTCCACCTCCAAATGAGTATGTTTATTGCTGGCAACTCAACCAAGTCAACTGGTCTCTGAAAATCTAGTTGTATCCTCTCTGCTTCACAGCTTGTTATTATCTGCACAGGTTCTAGACTCAGCCCTTATCTGATAACTCCATGAATGGTGTGCGACGAAAACCAGTTACAGCTGTACTGACTGCAAAGCAGACGGATGCATGCACACACAGAGAAAGCATCTGCAACCTCATCAAACGTGTCTCCAGTTGCACAAGCAGAGCAGGCCACCTGCAGGTATTCCTCAGATCAATGGTGCACCACCATCCACAATCTGAAAACTGATCATCCCAATTGCACCTGTCACTCCTAAACACATTTATTTTTGTAATTATCCAAGTATTCAGCACCTGGAATGTGTTAAACATAGCAGGTTTTAAGCAAACAAAGGTCATGGTAGCATAGCTTGTATAATCTACTTAAAACACATTACTTCAGTATCTCAAACAAGATCTCACATTTGTAGCTCCCACTATAAATCAACCTACACACATAACACCTGCTACTCCAACAAAAGAGTAAATTAAAAGGCTTTAATGATTAGAAAGAGTTTTGTCTAAGGGACACCTGGAAACAAAAATGCAGGGCATATGACTTTTGTGTACTAGGAATTACACTGTCACTTGCATTTAAATAAGACATATACATTCTGTAGTCTCCATACTGCTATCTTTGGATAAATAATATACAATCCCAAGGGTGCAGAACATCCACATATTCCCTCAACACTATCTGTCCAGAAGAAAAGCAGCCCCTTTTTCAACCAGTCATCATTCCACACCAAACAAAACCTATATAAAAGGTGGTTTTATCAATAGACATTTTTGCATGCTATTATTGGTCTGTTCCCATCAACAGGTGATTTATGAAAAGCATTAAAGGTCTAGCAAGCATCAGCATACTGATAGCAATACAGGTTGTCTAAAGTTAGAACTGGAGCCCTAATCTTCAGCTCACCTCTTGTGTGTGAGACTGCATTGACTACACAACTCAGGAATATTGATTGCCTGACAGCTGGGAGATAGGAGCAGTGCAGAACTGAGGAAAGGTCATGAAAGTACAATTTCCTGTACTACTGAGTTCCCACTGAAGCACACGGGACATCACAAATCCAGTGATTTAAATGGTGTGCAACTTTCAGAAAATGGAATTTACCTTGAGGTTTGGGTTTGGTAAGCTTCCCACACGGTTTTGAGATTGTGACAGTCTTCTGGCAGTCAGCATTATGAAGGGCTCTCTTTAGGTTCCCAGTTCGAGTCTTCAAGGCAGTATTCAAGTCGCATTCTCCCCAGGCCTGGAACTGGTATTTGCACTCTGCTGCAATGAGTAAATAAATGGCAATATTTAAACCAGAATGACTGAGTGTGAAAACAAAAATGTTATGAGTCTAATAGGATATCATGGATAGCCAGTGCTTGCACACAAAAGGATCATGCAACTGAAAAAAGGAATCCCAAGAAAAATATAAAGATGATTTGCAGTTATAATTACAGTCCCATCC